TAGGTAGGTAGGTAAGAAGTTGAGAACAAAATCATTCCATTGTCCAATATAGCATTTGTGTATCACGATCGTCGTAAGACGAAGGTTCTATTGCACTTGTATATATATATATATATATATATATATACGTAGGTACATATGTAAGTTTGCCTTTTCGTTGTTAGTGATATAAGCGTGTGATCGACGTACGGTCGATTTTTCAGGTCGACTATCAAATGTCCGTTTACACGTCGCCGGCGGTCGATCTGTTGTACTTTCTGAATATCTGTCCAGAGTTTGACATAAAGTACACCGAGGACGATTACTTTCTGAAAATCTATTTGAACACGTTGGAGGAGACGATGAAAGATACCGCTTGCAAGCGGAAACCACCGACGATGATGCAGTTGAAGGAAGCGATGCACAAAAGGAGATTGTACGCCGTATTCTCTGGCGTCATACTTTATCTGCGAATGATGGCGAACAAGGAGGACACCGAGGATTTCGTCCTGCTGTACGATAAACTGTCAGGTGAAACCAGGATGAACGTTTTCAAAAACCCGGACGCGGTGAAATTAGCCCACAAGATGATCCCGATTATGGATGAAAGAGGATACTTTGATTGAAACGATTATCTATTGTCTATAGTTGATTGATATTTTACTTGGTATTTCACGACGTGCCTATTTATAAAATATGACGACAAACAGCCTACCATGCGAATAGAAAATAACGCGTAATAAAATTCTTCAGTTCTGGCAAAATGTTCTGTTAAAGATTTACCTATACGTGTTATGTAGTTACCTGTAGAATTAGGTACAGAGCAGTAGCAACTAATTGTGAATGTACAAATTTTGCAAATTGCAAATTAACTCGCACGATCCAGTTGCATCTTTTTTAATTCGGATATGGAGTGATTTTTCTTTGATTCAAACAAGTAATGAAGTAAAATCTCGATTCGGGAAGAAAGAAAGTGTCTTGCGAGTGTCTGATTGAATAATCGGCAACTAGCTAGATACGTAGGTGTTGTACATATGCGGATGACTGGTTTGAAAAAGAGAAGATGGTTGGGGGGAGAGGGAGGGGCGAACGTGCGACCTTGGCGGTCAGCCGGTAGCAATTGATTTATTGTAGGGCAGTAAAGCACTAGGCTAAAAGGTCTGTGAAAGCATCGAGACTCGGTAACCTACATCGTGAACAGAGAAATTGTTGTGGCAAGCCTCGATGGGGTGGCTTTTGCCTCGAGGAGGATCTCCGCTAGCACCGGCTGAGCGAGAGAAACCCGAT